CTCAGGAGTGTGTTGCAGGTACGGGGAGGTCGTCAACATCAACCTGGTGAGGGACAAGAAGACCGGAAAGTCCAAAGGCTTCTGCTTCCTGTGCTACGAGGACCAGAGGAGCACCATCCTCGCTGTTGATAACTTCAATGGGATCAAGGTGAGGGAGCAGCCCGGGAGGCAGGTCGGTCGGTCTGTCTGCCACCCTCATGTGGCTCCTATGATGCTGCCTCACATCAGACCGGAGCCCTGGCCACCCACAACGTGTGGGGAGCTGGGCTTTGCCCTCGCTAAAAGCAGGACTCCCCTCATAGATCAAAGGAAGGACGATTCGAGTGGACCACGTGGCCAACTATCGGCCTCCCCAGGACTCTGATGACTTGGATGATGTTACAAAAACCCTCCATGCAAAGGGTTGTGGAGTTAAAACGCCGCCTCATACGTCATCCGATTCCCTGTCAGAAGATGATGATGTGCCTGTAAAAAAGCCAAAAGGTGAGGTGTGCTCCTGCAGTCCTGACCCCCGGCAGGAGTCTCTGCACAGAGCCCTTGGCCTTGTGAGGGCCCTTTCCTCAGGGGAACACTGAGGGTGTGTGGGCTCTTGAAAAGAGCAGGGGGGGAGCTGTGCTTTGGGGAACAGGGAGAAGGAAGGCTTAGGAAAAGCACCACTTCACACGTGGATGCTGCTGCTGTAGGACTGGAGTGCTGCAGATGTATGGGATGGCCATTGTGGCCCATGTGAGACAACCGAATTGAACAGAACATAAAGCAGCAGATCTAGAGAAGCTTCCGTGGCTGGAGGCTGAAGTCAAAGAAGGCGGGGGACTAGATGGAATTTAAAGGTCCTGTCCAGCCCCAAGTAGGCCTAAATATGCAGCACAAGGTTAACCCAACCAATTGTCTGAATACCTCCTGTTCTCAGGGGCAGCAGCAAGAATTAGCATGGCTGAGGCTAGAGGAGAGAAGCACCAGGGTTGGAAGTGGAATGGGATCACTAACGGGACACAGGCTGTGTAGCTTGGAGGGGGAGAACTTAAATGGGAGGAAGCTGAAGAGTCGGGGCGGTGGCTGTGGGACCGTCTGTCCCAGACATGAACCGTGTATTGCAGAGAGGAGCAGAGAGGAGCGGCGGCCGGCGAGCTCCCAGCCTGGGAAGAGAGCGGTGTCCGCGGAGGAGGCACATCCCAGGATCAAGATTAAGAAGGAGAAGGAGGACCCGGCCTACGACCACTACGCCAGCGGGAGCCAGCAGCCCGGGAGGGGCTCCGAGAGGAAGCCTTCGAGCAGGACGCAGCGGGAGGAGGAGGAGCGGAGGTACCAGAGGCCTCCGGAGAGGAGAGGGGAGAGGAGCTGCCAGGACCAGTGGGGCCAGGGTGGGTTGGGGGAAGGCAGGAGGGAGGAGGCTGTCAGGAGGGGTGAC